ATATCTTAAGATTATAATTAAGGAATGTAGTATAATCTAAGAATGCCAACAGTCATTTAGGATTTTGAAAAGTTAGAATTGGATAATAGCTTTTTTTTTTTTTTTTTGAGACAGAGTCTCACTCTGTTGCCTGGGCTAGAGTGCCGTGGCGTCAGCCTAGCTCACAGCAACCTCAAACTCCTGGGCTCAAGCGATCCTCCTGCCTCAGCCTCCCGAGCAGCTGGGACTACAGGCATGTGCCACCATGCCGGCTAATTTTTTTCTATTTTTAGTTGTTTTGGCTAATTTCTTTCTATTTTTAGTAGAGATGGGGTCTCGCTCTTGCTCAGGCTGGTCTCGAACTCCTGAGCTCAAACAATCCACCCGCCTTGGCCTCCCAGAGTGCTAGGATTACAGGCGTGAGCCACTGCGCCCGGCCGGATGATAGCTTTCTTAAGTCAGGTATCAATACTTCATCTCATTTACCAGGACCTCCCGGTGGAGGGAAAAAAAAAAACAACCCATAAGCAGGCATTTCCCTCAGCCCTTCTGGGCTTTACCTTGGGTACTACGTGGCTTAACCTGGCCACTCCTATTTATGACTATGAATATGGAACTTCAATCTGCAGCAATTCCTCTAGCACCATAATATAAATCCTCATAGGAAAATGAAAAGTAGCTTCTGACCAACTAGTTAAGAAAACTTGATCTAGAACCTCTCCACACTTTATCACCCTTTGTTAAGGTGGTATTAAGCCCCAAATTCTAACCATCTCCATGAATCACATTTCTTTTGCAAACTCCTGCACATACATATGTAATTTAATCTGTTTTATTTATCCCATTACTCTTTTATCAGTTTGATTCACAGGCCCCAATTACTGAACCTAAGAGGGTAGGGTAGAGAAGGGCTTTTTTCCTCTCCTAAAAATTCAATTTTAGTCTTTATGCTATGTAGTAAAACCACTTCACATATTTTAGAACAAGTAGGAGACATAAATAATAAGAGCGTTAAGTGCTATGCACTACATTAAATTCTAGGCAGCAGATGTAATTCTGAGCACTGAAAAGAATCGTTACTCTGATGTGGAGACAAGGAAGAAGAATACAGTGTTCCACTTAGACTCTAGGTCACAGGATCAAAAATTCAGAAAGTTTTGCTATTTAAAGTTTAATAATTCTTTCATGATACATGTACTACACTTCTTTCCCTAAGGAGTTATTGTAGGGTTTTTATTCTCTGTGGCTGATGGTACAGTATTTTGGGGAGAAAAGAGGTACACTTAATTTAAACATTTTTTTTAAAGCCCTGTTTTTACCCAGTGGACTTCATTTCTCAGTAATCCAAGGAAATTTCCTGTCCCATCAAGTGAGACTCCTTGCCACACTCATACTCGGTTCCTCCTCCTAGGCCCCTCTAAGTTGAAACGCAGCACTTCCCTTATCTCCACCAGCACCCTCTGCCCGCTTCCTTACTTACACCACAGTACTATCTTCAAGGACAGCGGAAGCCCCATCTCCTTCATGCAGACTTCCCAGAATACCTCCAACTCTTACTCAGAATTCTCTTCTTAAACTGATTAGTCTTTTTAATTTATAAATGCTATCTCCCCAAATGAGATTAGATATTCCTCGAGGGCGGGAGTCATTTTTTCTTTTATTATTTTGCACAGAACAGTTCTCTACATTGAGATGCTTAATGAATGCTTATTAAAGTTTGGCCATTTCTCAAGTATCCATGTTTCTGCAATGTGTTAGATGTTGGGAATAAAACAGGGAAATTTACATAGTTCTGCCTCTTTCAGGGTGTTTACATGCAAAGGCCACAAACTTGCAGTAGTGTTTGGCCAGTGTTGTTGTTTGGCTAGTGCAGTGTTTAAACTGCTCAGAATTAGAATGTCCCTAAGCTGGTCATTCACTCTAGTCCACAGGTCTGTTACTCCCTTGGGTCTGGCACCCATTCAGCTTCACTAATTTATGTTACCTTCAGCCTCTTGTGAAACATTCTTAATTTTACAACTCTAAATTTATAAGGAATAAATTAATTCTTAAAATACAAAGCTCTCCCCTTATCAGATACTGACTAGAGTTATTTACTACTGCCAAAACATCCAACATTACAATACCATGAGTGGCTTTATTTCTCTACCACCAACTTGGTGCATGTTGTTCACAGTACACTCAGTATATAGAAAAGAGGCTCCAGTTAGAAAATTCTCAGATCCAAGGGCAGATGGTATATTAATTAATTAGAGAAAGAAAACAGAACTGTGCAGCAACTGTTTTGCTTCCTTAAAGGCAAATTATCTTCAAGCTAGAAAGGATAAAAACCTCATTAAGAACAAACTAAGGTACAAGAAGAAGAGGTCACTTTATAAGAATCCACATCTTCACATTATGGTGAATTACATTCCAGGGTACCAAGAGAAACTGCAGATGTCAGTAGAGAAATATTCTGACAGTCTCCAGAAAAACATGGAGAAGGGTGGAGGTCTCAAGAAGCTAGAGACTCAAATGTAATTTTTTAACCCCTGATGTTTTTATTTTATTTTTAATATTCAAAACTAAAGGAAAGAATTTGAATTCCTAGGCTTTACAGACCAGTAAGTTTGACATCAATCTCTGGCAAAATTCAAGACTTAATCATTAAACAGGGAATAATTAGGGGGTAAAAAGATTGGGGATTTCTAGGAACTATCAGTTCACTAAGAATCATTCAGTGTTCAACCAATGTCATTTAATTTTGTGGTATATCAGGGAATACTCAAGATCTTATTTTTAGCAAGGCATTTGATTAAAATTTTTCTCGTCCTTATGGAGAATACTGATCTGTGGACTAGAATCATTTGCTAAATAGGAAAGACAGGGCTGAATCCAGCTAATTCATTAATTTGAGCAATATCTACTGAGGGCCAACTATACTTCCAACCAGTATTATACTTGGCACTTTTATTAGCTTGAATTTTAACCACTACTCTGGAAGGTAGATGTTACTAACCTCATTTTATTGATATAGAAGTTTCTCAAGGTCACAAAGCTAGTAGGTGTCAGGGCCAGACTCTAAAACCAGGCTCCAAAAATCCAGGGCCGTTTCTGCTGTGCCACAGGCTTCTAGATGTGCCACCATGAAAGCAAAATGACCTGTCCCATATATTATCAGTGATTTGAATCGTGAATAAACTCAGCAAACGTGCAGGTGACACAAAACCAGAAAGTAGAATTAACATGATGTATGTCGCAATCAGGACTAAAACAAATCTAATAAACCGGAAATGGGAGGGAGGCTTTAAGTAATACAAGCCAACAGCACAAAAAAGCTCAGATTCAAGAAATGCTTAATTGCATAATAAAACAATAAGGCCTACCCTGACAGCAAAGCATGGGAGGTTGGGAAGGGGGTTGAAGTTTTTCATCCACTTTGGTGTGTTTACCTCAAAAGCCAATTAAGCAATAGATGATTTTGTTTGAAGACGGGAACTCATTGCACTCCTCACTGTTCTGGTTAGACTGATTTATTGAATTAAATTTTGATCTAAGGATTTTTAGCACACAGAAGGGTCTTAGATAAGGAAACATAAAACTATTATTTATTGAAGATAACATTTACTGACTTCTAGGCACCTGTACTAAGTACTTTACGAAGATTATTAATTTAATACTCACAATAACCCAATGGTAGGTAAGAGTATATTCCCATTTTACTGATGAGGAAACCAAGGCTCAAGGATCTGAAAGGCTATCAAGAGAAGGAGACAAAAATCTTATTTTGTATCACTTTAGACCTTTCATTTAACTATTTCTTGTCGTGGACCCTTTTCAGACTCTGAAAAATTTTGATCTTTTTTGCAGAAAAATCCTGCTTATAATTTCACAAGTTGGAGGGCTATTGGCAAATTGGACTAATGAGAAAGGTACAAGGAAGCAACTGTCCGTTTGGTGTCAACAAGGACTTGCTAACAGACAGGAGGAATACCTCAAAATGTGAGCTCCCTGTCACTGAAGTATTCAATCAAAATGTAGCCGGAATATTATATAGGAGATATTAAAATAGATTGGAGGTTGGTCTTTGATTTTAAGGTATCCGTTTCCTATAAGATTGCGGGCCTAAATAAGTAATTTTTATAATGTGGGCAAAACAAAGTTAAAAACTGAAGTTATTTTTCCAGACCATTCTGCTTGAATATTCAGTGTTATTTTATTTCCCATCTATTTATGATAGCCATATCAGGTACTTGAAAACAATACAATCAAAGGGAAAAAGGAACATCCAACTGTTGATCTTGGTGTGATTTATACTTTGTCCTAATAAAAGTAGATTCCTTATTCCTCTGAATTCTTATCTTAAAATTTCCCTAAGATAAATACCATATACACCAGATTCTAAAAAGATGGAGTCTTTGATGAGAATATTTACTAGTTTATAATTTTGTTAACCTACTTCTATTAATATAAAGGATGGGGGGGTGTTGGTGGCAGAGGAGAGACGTTAGAGAAACAACTCCAGCTGTTCTGCTTTGCTTTTCACATCCCTTGGCTAATGGCTGAGGATCTAACCCGTCCTCTCCGCTTTATTTCTTATTTGCATTATTTCACCTCAAGGTTCAGCCTCCCACAGCTCCAACTAGCACGAGAGCTAATACTTTGCGTAACATATGTCATTCAGAGCACAATTCTGACAGCTTGGCGTACAAATAAAATGTTCACAGGCAAATCTTTTACCTGAAAAATCTTCATTCACTCTTCAGGTAAGAAGCAGGATGAAACTGCAACTCATAATGAAATACCTTTAATTGGGGGGCTCAGAACAAGATGGAAGGAGTAGGGCTAACTCTTCTCAATTAGGGGGACGGAGCTGTGAGGCTCTAAGGCAGCTGGCCGAGAAATGTCTGCTTTAATTAAAGCGTCCTGTAACTCACAGGTTTCTGCCATTGAAAAATCAAAAAGGCACAGCTGACAAGCAAAGACAGACAGACATACCGCCCCCACCCCCCCAGTCGCCCACTTCCCAGGTGTTCACTTACGCAACACATCGCCGGGGTAGCAGCGCGCCCATCGCACGTCCGGACAGCCGTGGGGGCCGAGGAGGCATCTGGCGCTCGCGGGCGTCAGGCCCCGGGCCGGTCCCCGAAGCTCCCGGAGCGGGCGCTGCTCTGGAAGGGGCTGCTGGCGTCAGGGTGGGCAGGAGCTGGGGCCGGGCGAGGGCAAAGTGCAGTCCAGCTGCAAGGGCTGCGGCGCCGCCTTCCTGCCGGCGCCCGGGTTAGTGGAGTGGCAGCGTTTGGAGGACGGGGCGTCCTTCGGCGGCGCTCCGGGCTCACGGCCCCTCCTCCCGCTGTCCCCGCCGCGCCAGCAGCGCGCTCCTCGCGGGTTCGCGCCCCGCACCAGGACGGCCCCGCAGGTGGCAACCAAGGGACGCCCGGCCCCAGGGCGCGCCCTCTGCGGGCGGCACGCGAATTTGCGGCGGTGGAGAGAGAGGCGCCAGGCTCACAACTCACGCAGGGGCGGGGCGGAACTGGGCTGTGAGACGGGTGGGTCCTGTGCCTTCGTCCTCGCGCCCATCCCAATACGCCGCTGCCTCCGCGACAGGAACTAGACCCTCAAAAGTTCAATGGAAGCATAAACGAGCAAGTCGCTTCACTGCTCTGGTCCCTGGCCCCTCATCTGAGCCATCTGGGTTGCGAACTCTGCTGAGCTCTGCCCTGGTAAGAGGAGGAGCTGCTCTCCAAGCCCTCTCCACAGGCGGGGCCTGCCTTGGGGACAGCAGGTGCTAGCCCCGTGCAGGTGAGCTCCGCAGCCTCCCCGCCGCCTTCCCGCCGCCTTCCCAGCTAAGGGTTCTGGCGCTCGGGCCAGGCTTAGCAGCCAAACCTGCCTTGACCGCAAACCCCATGCTTTGCAGTTAGGCCAGGGACTCTGCCCTTCCTAACTAGTTTGCACCATGAGTATACACAACAGAAGTGCTTGAAGTTCTTAAACATTTAAAGGATACATCCATTTTGTACTTTTCTATCCAAAAATACTCAAGAATATTTTTCAAGCTTGTTTCTCCTTAAAACATTTCTAAAGACCATTTTCTCATTCGTTAAAGCATTGAACATCACTTCCTCAAAACATGGCCATTATTCAGTTACACTTCGCCACACATTCCATGTGATGCCTGCATCTGCCCAGCACGATTCCTAGCAATAGTAAAAGTCCCAAGAGAACTACAAAAGAACCATTATGTCCATTGTGTTCTACAATGGATTAGTCAATGCAAAATTCATGCTTGAAGGGAACTTAGTGATAACTTCGTTTGACTCCTTCTCATTACAGATGAGGACGCTGAAGCCCAGAGTCCAACTGAAAAAATAAACATGAAAAAAACTGGAACCTAAAAAGCTCACAATCTGTACACTAACATATGAGGCTTCGCTCTTTGAAGGCACAGCATAGTAAGGAATAAACCTAGATTGCAGAGGAATTGAGAAACATAGATATAGAAAATCTAGCTCAGAATCTTTTAGATTTTAAATGAATCAAGCATTCTTATTTTTTACTGTGCTTAAATTAGCGAAGGTTGCTGTTACATACAAACACAGTAGCCCAGAAATGTAATTTTTCTTCATGCTATTGTGATTAATGAAATTGGAGTGGGTACATTCTTACAGTCATAGAATATGAGTATACTTATATTGATTTGTCCAATAAGTATCCATTTTTAATGTATACAAATTGATTAAACCTAGATAAAACAAATATTAAGCTCTCCATATTTCAGGCATACCATGCTGAATAATTATGCTCAAAGGCAAGGCTCCACCGTTAGGCCTGATTCTTTGCTTGCCCTCTCCCTTCCCAGCTTGAAGGCTCAGTCATCCTTAGGAGACCTCTGGGTTCCACACTGAGAGATCCGTGTCAGTCCTTGATGTGCTCTAGGCAGGGGAAACGCTTAGAAATTTGAGGGGTTTTGCGTCCCAATTACCAGGACAGAAGGAAAGAAAAAGTGGGTGAGATCAGCCTCTGGCCTCCACCAGAAGAGCAAGGCACGTCCATACATGCATTACTTTCTTTCACTCCGTTCAAGAGCACGCCAAGTGTTCTGGGTAGCCTTTGGTCTAGAAGAAAGCAGGCGATGGGGGATCTCGACACATACACACTGCGTTGAGCTGCTCCTTCCAGGCCCAGGCTGGACCCTTCCTCCACCACCCTGGGTCTGGCCAAGCCAGCTGGGGAGGCCCAGGTCAGATCTGGCAAAGTGGCTGAGGGAGGGTGTCCCGGGCCACTGCTACCTGCCCTCATGGGTGCAGGCTGCAAAGAGTGGAGACCAACTGCCACCCTTCTGGGCAGCCCTCTCCCCTCTCTGCAGGGCCTCCCTCAGGACCAGGAGAGTCTGGGCCAGTCCTCGCTGGCTGGGCCACAAAAAGAGCCTTGGTCTCTCTCCTCAGGACTGCAGGCCACGCTCTGGTTGAGATGGTGCCATGGTAAGACCTTGGCAAGATGCCTTGAGGAAACGTGGCATCCTCTGCTGCTGGGTTCCAAAAGGCTGGCTTTCCTCACAGCCACCCCAGCCTCAGCTGGGAGTCAGGGCCAGCATGTCTGCCTTCCTGCCATCCTCTCACCTGGCCTCGAATGTGGATGCAGAGGTGGGAACCCAGAGCTGCTCAAACTGGTGGTGGCAGAGACCTACAGTAGGATTTTGAAAGAGCGCTGAATACAACTTTTCAAAAGCAAGACAGAAGTGAGAGAGAGGAGGAAGGCCCCCAGAGATGGCCTGAGGTGAATGTGGTTAGGGTAGGGGTGCCTGAGCTATAACAAGTGTTCAGTGGGTTTTCTTTTTGTCAGGTTATAGAATGTAAAAATAATAAAAATAGTAATGACAAAATACTGGGATTTGAACATAAATTGTCTCACCCCAAAGCCCATGCTGTTGATAGGAAAGAAGTATTGAGCTGGATTGAGGATTGTATGCCAAATAATAAACTTGCAATTAATAGAATTAAATCTAGACACCTCCATAGCCTTTGTCCTACAAAGAATTCCCATTTCTACCCCGAGGCCCATAAAACTTCCGCTTCCACTCATGACAGATCAGAGAGAGGTATACAGCAAGCTCCCTTCACTGGTTTCCCTACTTAAACAACAAACACCTTTAATTTCCATTTTTGCTTCAGGCAGGCCAGTCAGAGCTTGCTCCTGGGGAGAAGCAAAGGAGGTTATGCCAGCGAGGCAGAAGGAACCTCCTCTCTGCAAGAGCTCTAAGTAGTGAAATGATGTGACCCTGTCAGAAGGGATCTGGGCCCTGGGACTCATTTGTCTGCCACTAGGGTTCTTACTAGCATATCAGAGAGTCAAATGTCTCCACTTGTTTTCTGATCATGAAGTGGTGAGGACTGGGTTGGTCGATGGAATGATTTGTGCGTGTTCGTTCACATGGAGGCTACGGCATACTGTATGCTAGAGAGAGGTATGAAAATTACAGAAAAGACTTAGAATGGAAAATGATGCTTGCTACCCACCCACTCCCACCCCCAGAAAATACCTCGGGTTATGAAAAAGAAGCCAAAGCCAATTGGGCGGGTAGAGGAAAATTTAAATACTGACAAGATAAACTTACTGAGGAGACAGAAAAAAATACCATTGTGGGTTATGAACCCTAATAGAATAGCACATAGGTATGAACTACGAGAAAACTCGTTTTGAGATTTACCTCTTCATTTCCCATATAATAGTCCACTGGTCTAAGGAAAAAGGAAACTCTTAGTGGTTATTGGAAAACATGGCTATTTCCTACATATATTTCTCACTGATCCAGGTTTTGAGTACTGTTTTTTATGTGTTCAAACTAAAATGGTCTCTCCAAAACAGTGAACTTAATCTTGTATGTGCTAAGGTTTTATTTGGATTTGGCGGAGAGACCTAGATATCTTCTCTGAGTAGGTGACAGACACATTTTCATGTCAGGCCTGAGAGTAGGGTTTTAGGATGCAAAGCTTTAAAAATCAGAAGCAGAAATGGTGTACTGATTCTTTAACACTGTCTGTAGCGCAAGACACCTAAAATGTTCTTGATGAAGAACTAGCTATGGGTATGAAAATGGTCTTATCTTTTGCTCCTGAGACGTCCCTTTTGTACCACTCCCAGTTGCTCCTGTGCCCTAGCAAGCTTCAAAACCTTGTTGCGAACCTTAACCACACTGTGTGGAAGACCTCTTCTTGTGTAACACTTTCCCAGAATCAAAGAGCAAATCTTCAGATTACCTACCCAGCCAAACAGGTGAAAACGTAAATTTACTAGGACAATTTCTGTTCTTGTCCATTTTGTTCTGCTATAACAGAATATCTAAGGCTGGGAAATTTACAAAGAACAGAAGTTTATTTTCTGGAACCTGAAAAGTGCAAGATCAAGGCACCAGCAGGATCGGCTGTCTGCTAAGGGCTGCATCCTCTGCAGGGGAAGGGAGGCTGTATGCTCGCACGGCAGAGGAGAGGAAGATGGCAAGCTAGCTGGTTGCTGCATGAAGCCTCTTTTAAAAGGGTCTTAATCCCGTTAGTGAGGTGCACCTCTAATGGTCTAATCACCTCTTAAAGGCCCTGCCTCTTAATGCTATCGCATTGGCAACACCTGAATTTTAAAGGGTACATTCAAACCATAGCAGTTTTCCATAATAATATTTTAAAGTATATCATGCTATGTTTAAAAGTTCTTATGCCCAAACTAAATTTTCCAAACTGTACTTGAGGCCATTCTAGTCTGATTTATGATGTCACTGAAATGAGAAATGGTTGATAGTATCTTCCTTATGTGGAAGAATCAAATCGCCCCTCAAACCTTCTTGTTCCTGAGGAGAAACATTAATTTTTTCTCACAGAATTTCTTTTACTCACATTTATCAGGCTTCTCTAGACCCATTCTTGTTCTCCTAATGTAATTAAATGTCTCATGACCCAAACTAGGGAAAATTTCCAAATGAGAATTTAACTAATGCAGAACATTAGAGTATTTTGGGAACAATATCTCCTGACCACATATTATATAATCCAATCTGTTCATTAGATTAAAAACTATATAGGCTGTCAACTATACCATCAGTCTGTTCTCATGTTTCATTTTTCCTTATAGTTCTTCAGCGTGCATTTTTGTGTTAAGTTTTGGTCTTTAAGTTTACTGATGTGCATTTATCAGTAAATAAGCCTCATCATTTCTATACAAGATCTGTCAAAAGATCTGTATTTTACACTAAAATACATTTTGAAGTCTTTAAGTG